GGGTGGGTTTTGTCCGGTGGAGCGGGAGCCGCGACGTGCCTGCGTCTGGCACCAAAGCCTCGGCGGGGAGAAGGGCAGGCGAGTCAGAGTCAAGTTAAAAGGGGCCCGGATACTTCCGTTGTTTAAACTTGAATGCTCGAAAATGGTTTGAGGAGCAATAAACAATCTGATCCTTTTTCTCCCCCCTCCAGAAATCCACGGCAGTATTAATCCAAGGAGGTGCATTGGGGACAGTTGGCAGTACAATGGCTTCTCAGTACCTCGTAGTGGCTCTGGCCATTTTCTCCTCTTTTACCCAGGTTGTAATAGAAGCCAGCTCTTGGTGGTAAGCATCTTGTATCGACTTGATTTTTAAAGGGGGTGTTTGGATTTGCTTGATTAAATGCCTGTTTACTTGTTGTGTACTTTGTTTCTGAGGGAGTACTATCGCATGAACGAGACAGCAGGGGAGTAACGTTTTAGTTGTAATACGTTGTGTAGTAAAATGAACGGATCTCTCGAATAAGCGTAAATGGGCAATATCTCATGTTGTAAAATTCAGGTTTTTTAAGATGCTGTACAATAGATTCTCTATGGATTTGATCATCCTTAAATTACTAGCATTGCCTCTCTTTTAAGAGTCATTTCAACTCCCTTGGAGATTTTGCATATATGAAAGAGAACGCTGATTTACAAGTAAAAACTTTTGTTAAAGTTTCGGTTTGAACTTTTCTGTAATTTAAATCTTTATATTTTGTTACAAAGAAGTACTTTTAAATTTCTGCTTTGGCAGATTATCTCTTTTTTGTGTAGTACATGATGTTGGGAGTTCTTGAAATAGGTGTTTCCCTGCTGTTTCAAGTGATCCTTTTTGGATTAATGGCCACTTTTAATTGAAATGTATCATGTGAAGAGCACTTTAAGAATTAAGAAAACAAAGTTGATTTTGTTTACAGTGAATATACTTGCCTCTGCGTTTTTATATGTTGTTTGGAAGAAGGTGGAAGTAGTCTGTACCAAGCTTTTCACTTCTGGCTTGTTAAAGGTTTCCCTATTTGTTTCTGGTAGAACAGATTGAAAAATCCAGACTTAAATCTAAAATGCGTGTTAAAATAAACTGGGGTTTGAGGGGCTCTTTTCATTTTTGCTTTATTTATTTTTCTGGCCTTGGAGTTGTTTGGAGCTTCTGTTACTTTTACTACATCCATTTAAGTTGGTAAAGGGCTGTCCAGATGCAAGTCTTCCAAGTCTGCGTATTACTTCGGTCCCTAATCTATGGTGATAGCTCCCATCCATGTGGTTAATAACTTCTGTGCTGTCTTAAAACAAAACTTTCATGTTTAAGTGGTTTTTTTTTTTCTCACCTGTTAACAAAACCAGGAGTGGTATGCTCATGTGTATGATACAGTTCTGTTGGGATTTCTAGATTTATTTTTTTTTTGAGTCTTCTCTTTATTAATCCAAATCTTTCTTTATGCAGGTCTTTAGGGATGAACCCTATGAACCCCATGAACCCTGTTCAGATGTCAGAGGTATATATAATAGGAGCCCAGCCACTATGTAGCCAGCTAGCAGGGCTTTCCCAAGGACAGAAGAAACTCTGCCAATTGTATCAGGACCATATGCAGTTCATTGGAGAGGGTGCAAAGACGGGAATTAAGGAGTGCCAGTATCAGTTCAGACATAGAAGATGGAATTGCAGCACTGTGGACAACAACTCTGTTTTTGGCAGAGTCATGCAGATAGGTAGGAAGCACCATCTTTATAATTAAACTCTTGACTAAGCATATGTGTGGCACAAACTGTTCTGCACTTGAAACTCTTGCCAGGTTCTGACTGAGTACTGTATACAACCAACTGTTTTTAAAAGTTGGCAAAGGAGTTGAATTATTTTTAGCTGGAGGTGATTTCCCACCACTGTCCAGCCATGTGTCTTGGAAAACAAAGTAGGAATTTATATTTGCATATGAGAAAAGAGGATAAAGGAAAATGCAGCCCTGAAATCTCCTTTTAGAAAACCTGAGACAAAATGAAGGCAACCGAAGAGAATTAAAACCAGCAGCGTCTTATAAAATTAAAGATGTCTATGTCTAGTTCCAAAGTTAGCAGCTGCATAATAAATTGCTCTTGGCCTGGAGGTTAAATGAAAATTGTTGCTCTATTAGCATTTATAGGTAATTCCTTCTTGCTTATTTCCCGATATGGTAACTTTTTTCTCTTTTTGAAAAAGATTTATATTAAAAATAATGTAGCGGGGTAGTTTTTATGAAATCAGTTCTATCAGGACAAAATGTGATTGTCCTTCTAACTCGCATGTAATGTAATCACACGGCTGGTAGGGGAGGCAGATTCCTGTTTAACATCTTACCACAATTTGGTGGGCACCCACCCCTCTCCCTATCAGATCCTCTTTGAAATGTGTTTCTCCAGTGCTCACGTGCTGCCTGCCTTTCCTGTCGTTTAAGGACCTCATCACATTTGAAAGTCCTTGACGAAATTTTAACCAGTGCTGTTGAACTGGGTCCATGGTGAAACCTTCCTCTGATTTTCCCAAGTCAGATTGCTGACTCCGTAAGCAACCAAAAAATGCTTGCTTTTCTGGGTGACAGTTGTCATCTTTTATGTAGTGATCAGTACGCTGACAAACTCAGCAGTGCTTTTTAGTTGGAGATATAAAGTTTTTATATGGGTGTTTTCCTGTCTTGCTTTAAAAAAATAAAGTTTTAAAACCAGACTCAAGCTAGGTTTATCTGTAAATAGGCTAACTCCAGTTAAGGTTGAAGGAATACATCATTTCACATTTGTTCTCAATTTTTGTTAAAAGAAGTTTTTATATGAAGATTGTCAGACAAATAGAAAAAAAAAATCTATTGCATAAAAGTACCTAATCGGAACAGCTGATTTTAGATTAAAAAATCCTTCCTTGGCGTTTTTGCAAGCAAGTGTTAACTCCCCCTCTGGAGTTTGGGTTCTTTTACCCTACCTGACCCAAAGTCTAAAAGCACATCAAACATGAAAGAAAACTTTTTCTGTACACCTTTCTGTTCTAATACTTTAACAAATGTCACAAAAATACTATGTTTAAATATTAGGCCTTCAGCCCTTATTTATTAGCCAAGCAAGTGAAAATTAGCTCAAGGGGACTGTTGGTGTGAAGAAATGTACAGGATTTGGCCCCTGATTTGTGGTGTCTGTCTCTGGAATAGATGTTTCTGCCCTCCCCAAATATGACAGATTTAGTTAAAGGTAGTGTCTTTCAAGTTAAATAACTTTGCCGTACCCTTCTGCTGAATATGACTGCATTAGCTGATGTCTACACAGCAATTCATCATGTAATTAAGCCACTTATTCTAATTGCAGATGGAAACAAGGTTAATAGCCATATTCAAGCGTTAAAGAGCCTAAAAAGTGTATTCACTGAGAACAAGAAAGGTGTTGTGGGTAACAGTTGTATTATTTCATGCTGACCTTCGGTAATGACCAGTTGCCGTTCCTCCAAGTGGAAGGAAGAATGGGTATTTCTAGAGTCTGATTCAATTTTACTTGAGCCTACCATACCCTGACTTGTCGGGGACTCTCAGATACTCCTTACTCTCACCGATGTGAGAAGATGGTAGCCACGATCTGAATGCACATAGTTTGTGAGGATTTTGTCATCTGAGCTGTCGCTGGCCGCGCACAGGAGAGCGCCAAGGCAAAGCACTGACTGACAGCACAGTAATTACCCCAGTGTATAAATGGACAGTCTTTCTTCCAGGATTTATCCTGCAAAGTTAGCTAAAGCTGTACAAATAAACCTAGCATTGGGTTTGGAAACTTGCTCTGTGGCTTACTGAACTGCAAAATTTTAGGGCTTTTGTTCTCTGCTGCTCTCCTTGGCTGCTGGTTCCCAGGTCAGGCCATGGTCCTTGCTGCCTTCCCTGCCTTGCGCCATCTCCTGGCTTTGTGGCCGGCCCTGGGCTGGCTGTGCTCGGGCTTTGCAAACAGCTAAGTGCTAACATATAATAAAATAAAATAACTGGATCCTCCCACGACAGTTTAGTGTAGTTAGGGTCCAGTTGATTCATGCCTGCTGCCTGACGTTGAATGCTTTTAAAATACAAGACAAAGAACATTTTGTATCTTATGTCCAGGTATAAAAAAAAAAAAAGTTCTGTTCTTGCAGACTTACTCATATCAAGTGTAAAGCTCAGCTCCTTGCTCTGTGGGTGGCTTCCTACAGTGTGTGTATATTGAACAGTTCCATTTCTGTGTTTTATATATATGGGAGAGAGGGGACTCAAACGTGTTTGGAATGTGTGTTTCCTTGCCATGGCTACAACAGAGAGAAATGCTGGACTGTGGGAAAAGACAGATATGTTTGACAGTGAAGGAAAGCACAGTTGTGCCTGAAGACTTTAAAAAAAAAAAAGAAAAAGAAAAAAAAGAAAAATCAGAGTCACTCATCCATGTGGAACCATCACTCCTAATGTGTTCCTGGGGTCAATGACTTGAGGCAGTGTTGGCTTGCAACCTGCGGGGCTTGAAATCTACTTCAGCAGCTGATGCTAGTTTCTAATTTGCCTAAATGTTCAAGGAGGGAACTTGGGGGGCAGCTCCGCTTTCTGTACCCCAGCCTTTCCTTCTCCTTCCCAATAAGAGTAAGTTCTTTAAAATATGCTCCAGGGTAATAATGAAAACTAGTCAAAAAAAGTCAGCTTTATGAGTTTAAATCCTGCTATAAACGGCGTAGTTAACCATGTGAAAGCATGAGCTAACTAAACATGAAAAAGAATAAAATGAAGCGGAAGAGGCAAGTCCTGTGGTCCAAAGCAGACCACGTTTCTTTCCTCTCAATCTAGTGGAAATTTTGTTTAAGGAATTAATCCAAAAATGTGTATTACAGAACAAACGGGAACGTTAAAATCTGTATGAGGTTCCCCCTGCTATAGTTTGCAGTAAATGCAAGGCATAAGTCACCACATAAAGCCAAATCTTTTTTAACTGGAAAGGCTACTCCTGTAACCCCTTATACCCATAATTCATGTAAGTACTTCCATGAGCAGGTGTCTGTGAGAACAGACCATTGTAAGTAAGGGAGCAAAGTGCTTCTCATCTTCCTTAAATCTGATCTTCCTCCACATCAGACTTCTGATTTTTCCCATTTAAAACTAGCATCTATTACTAAAATTAATCCAGTGGATGACAGCTGTTATATTAACAAAGCTGCTCTGAGCATGGTGTCATCTTGATGTTAAATATGGACCAGACTGCAAATTATTTATGTTCCAGAAGTGCTTGAAAGCTCCTATTAGATTTGACCTGTTATGGTAGGTCTTGTACAAAGAATTTCTACCTCAGAATGTTGCTGCCTAATACATATGACATGTCCAAAACGCAGTCTCTTAAAGCCCTAATTTTACAAAGGCCCATGCTGTTCCCTAAGCAAAGATTGAATAGCTTGATTATTGATTAGACCAAAGGTTAAGGATAAGACTTAACTCATCTAAATCGAAAAAAAATATATTTAGTCTGTTTTCAGTCATTCTGGGAATCTTTTTTGGAAAAGACCCAGTGGGATGCTCTCTCTTAAGATGAAAAGTAAACGCCAAGTGGGCTCTCTGGTGCAAGTTTTATGGGGTTTTGTTTGTTTGTTTGAAAGCTTCTCTAGTTGTAGTCAGAATTTGTGGCACCCTTGGAAAAGCAGTAGGAGAAGTCAAGCTCTAAACAAAGGTGGGATTAGATAGATGGTACGTGGCCATATTTTGCCTTGTGGGTATTGCAACTTTTTCTTCCAAAAGTTTGAAACTTGAGGTTTTCAGTTTCCATTTAAGGGCACCAGATGCAGGAGAAAACCTTGAAGGCCGCCTCGTGCCAAGGGTTTTTTATTCCCAGTAATTTGTAAAGGTGATTGTCCATGGACACACTTGCTATTTTCACGTGAGCTGCAGTGGTGGATACTAAGCAGCACAGGTTGTTGTTAGTTTTAAATAGCTTCCTACAAAGTGCCTGGCTTTTGCATAGGGTAAAAAGTTGTGTGTGATTCTGCTGTGCATTTCTTTTGATACTAGGAGGCTTTGTAAAACACTATAACTTTAAATAAATTGGAACAAGTGGGTGAAGTGCATAAATCATGTTTGAGAAGTAGTAATTTAAGAACCAGACTTTAAAAAGTTGTATTTAACATCTCTTTTTTTTTTCTGAAAGACAGGGAGTCTGTTTCCCTCTCCACCCCTCACACGCAGGCACGGTTGCTTTGGCCCTGCTGGCATCATGCTCTGGCTCTGATTCACCTCCTCCCCGCTCCCTCATCCAAGCTTTCACCAACATGAATGAGAAGTGACTCCTGCTCTTCACAAACACCTTGTGTGCTCTAATGGGTTGGTTTCTCTTGATGTTTTCAGAGTGAAGGCATTTTGAGCAGCATGGTTCAGGGTTACTCTACCTTTTAGCAGGCAAATGAATTTTGGTGACTCCTGGAGAGCCTTTGACCCCCTGGCTCCTTGGTGGGCAGGGAGCGGTGCACGTGGGCTCCACCCTAACACCGCTTCTCTTTCTGTGCAGGCAGCCGGGAGACGGCGTTCACCTATGCGGTGAGCGCAGCTGGGGTGGTCAACGCCATGAGTCGTGCCTGCCGGGAGGGTGAACTCTCCTCCTGCGGCTGCAGCCGGGCAGCACGGCCCAAGGACTTGCCCCGGGACTGGCTTTGGGGTGGCTGTGGGGATAATATCGAGTATGGATACCGCTTTGCCAAGGAGTTCGTTGACGCCCGGGAGCGCGAGAGAGTTTACCAGAGAGGCTCCTACGAGAGCGCCCGCATCATGATGAACCTGCACAACAACGAGGCTGGGAGAAGAGTAAGTGGCTGTGAAACAGCACATCCCTCTGCCCCTGTCCACGTCCCTCCTTTTGGGGAAAGACGTGCCGTGGTGGGGCATAGAGCTGCACTGGGCAGTGTCCAGCCGCCAAGGCTTGTCTCTGTTCCAATGCACGAAACGAGAAGACAGCAAGTACAGTGTGTAGGTGGGTGGGGAGCACATGAATTTGTGTTGCTCCTGGTTGTCTGACAGCCCTGTTGCCTTCCCCATGGGGATTGGGACCAAAGTGTGTTGTGTTTCCCTCTGTATTGTTTCACTAAAAGTGCCCTCCCCACTGTAGATTCCCTGTAGAACAGAATTTTATTAGTTTGTATTTCCAACCAGGACAGTGTGCGTTGGAGGGAAGAGGGACACGCTGGGCTTCCCAGGCTGGAATCGTGCCGCAGGATTGTTCTAACTTTTTTTTCTTTCCCTGCTTTAAGAGGATGTGAAAAGCTCCTCCATATTATTAGAAAACATAGTCTTCTGTGGTTAAACATGTCTTTATGGTTTCTTTAATCTCAAAAATGCATTAAATGAATGGGTGTAAACTTTTCTTTTTTTAATAGTCTGAATATGAAGAGCCAAAATCATTATTTTCCTAGACCTTGAAGTGCCAGAAATACTCAGCTGGAGACTTTACACTTGTGTTCTAAGGTGAAGAAAGATGAAAGATAATTGAGAATTAATAGTATTTAAATGTGAGAGGAGGGTGTCTGAAAGCAATGGACAGGCCAATTTACTATTAGCAAGAAGAAAAATGACACTTTCACAGTTGCTTACAGAGACTCGAGCAGTTTTTTCCCTCCTCAGCCTCATCTTTGCAGTGCCATTTGGCAGTGTTAAGACTCTGCAACTGCTGGGTGGAAGTTGTCTACAGTATCATCTAATGTGTCAGACCCCAGGATTTTTGGGGCAGTGTCAACACTGACTCTTATTTCTATTTGTACAGGGCAAATGACTGATATTTCCCTGCCAAAGCTTTGTAAAGAGGATATTGCTATGTAGCACTGTCTCCCACCCATAGGTGTTTGGGGGTTTCTTCTTGGATGAAGGCTCCTTTGCAGAGCAATATTTTGGATGGGAGGAGGATGCTGAGCCAAGAGTAGACAATCAGCTGCAGCTGAGCCAGGAGCAAGAGGAATCTTAACTCTTTCCCTAATTGCAGCCTCAAGCAGAGATCAATAGAGAGAGTAACTCAGATAGAAAATAAAGGGATGTTTTACATTTCTCAATGAAACAGCAAAATCCTTTGCTGGCTTGAGAGTGAATTCCTAAAATTTGACTGCAGCTTGACTGATGCTGCTGTCTGGGCTGTGTGTGTGCTGTTGTGGCTGTTCTCTGTGGTGGGGAAAGGCTGGCGAGAGTGCTCCCCTCCTCCTTCTGGCTAACAGGGGTGCTGGGGGTGCATGTGTCTTCTCTTGCTCTTCCTTCCCAGCGTATTGCGGGAGGGAGGAGGATGCTAAAGTGAATATTGTGGAGGGGTGAGTGGGAATGAGACAGAGGGTAGAAAATGAGGGGAATAAAAGCTTTTGCAGCCATACTAATCTTTCATCATCATTTTTGCTTTCTCTCCCTGGCTCCTCCAGACTGTGTACAACCTGGCTGATGTGGCCTGTAAGTGCCATGGTGTCTCTGGTTCCTGTAGCCTGAAGACCTGTTGGCTGCAGCTTGCCGATTTCCGCAAGGTAGGCGATGCCCTGAAGGAGAAATACGATAGCGCTGCTGCCATGAAACTCAACAGCCGGGGCAAGCTGGTGCAAGTGAACAGCCGCTTCAATGCGCCCACCATCCACGACCTGGTCTACATTGACCCCAGCCCTGACTACTGCGTGCGCAACGAGAGCACTGGGTCCCTGGGCACGCAGGGCCGCCTTTGCAATAAGACCTCGGAGGGCATGGACGGCTGCGAACTCATGTGCTGTGGCCGGGGGTATGACCAGTTCAAGACGGTGCAGCGAGAGCGCTGCCACTGCAAGTTCCACTGGTGCTGCTATGTGAAATGCAAGTTGTGCACAGAAATCGTGGACCAATTTGTGTGCAAATAGGGGACGGACGAGGTGGGAGGAACTGCAGCCACCTGCCAGCAAGGGGTGCAGGCCCCTCTCCCTTTCCACAGGACTATCTCCACTTTATTTATAGAGTCCAATAAGTTGTTGTCTTCTTAAAAAAAAAAAACAAACAAACAACAAAAAAACAAACAAAAAAAAAAGGGTGGGGGGAAGGGGAAAAACAAAAAAGAATTTAAAAAGAAAAATATAAAGGTTGCAAAGAGAAGTGCCTTGGAAACCCTCTCTGTGTCCATCCCAGAACTGTGTGTGGCATATTTTTGGCAATAATGGGGGAGAACTTGAGAATATTTATTTTACAAAGTAAAAAAAAAAATAAAATTGACTTTTCTTAAAAACAATAGAGTAGTTTGAGGGGAAAATCCAACATATCCTAATTTAGTCCCATGGGACGTAATACATGTGCAGTAGGCAGAGCAACCACGTAATGTGCTTGTGTTTTAGACCAATCTTTATGGATATGAGGAACACACAGACCTGTCCATGACTTTTAGTTTCAGACACTAGAAGTTATCAGAACAGGGTATATAAACCTGTTCAGTACATTTAGGGCTCTGCAAATAAGGGGTATAATTCATCACGAAGTGCGGTGTCAGCTGCATATCTGAATGTGCCTGCCTAAGTACGCAATGTCATCGGAGGGTAAAGAGCAAAGGATCATAAAGGCTTCAACTGTGCTATTTCTGAGTCACCGTGTCTGGTTCCAGAACCTAACGACCCAAAAAACAGAGAAAAAAAAATCTGCTTTGATGAATAATAAAGATATTCTTCAAGGCAGAATTTGGCCTTACTGGCTGATTGTGATGTTCATGTGTCTCATCTTACAGAGCAGTACTTCACTGCTGCCCAGTGTGGGGAGTAGCCGAGGTGCAGTGAGCACTGTAGCTGGGCAGAGGGGAGCTGCAATGCTTGCAAACAGTTTCGGTCTCCCAGCCTGGAAGGCCCATAGAAAATAGAATTCCCCAAATTTGAAAATGCCTTAAAAATGGTGTAATAGCTGGCTGTCTTTCAAAACACAGCTTGACAAATAACTCCTCTAATTTTATGTGAGAAAATAAATCATTAGATATCCACTCTTGGAATGATTGATTTTTATTTTTTCCGCAGATTTTGGGAATGCTTTCACTCAAAGAAACAATAGTTTCATATTTTAATAACGTTAACTGACTATTATAGTTCAACGAAATGTTGCAGCAATACCAAATTTATCATCTTATGTCTTTAATACACATGCTTTAGATAATATATTGCAGATATACACTACAACTGTTCAGACTATACTTGAGCAGTTACATATATATGGGAGAACTGTGGTCTGCTGGTGTCTGATATTTCAAAGCTTTTTGTACATATATATTTTAGTGATTTAAATAATAAAACGTCTAAATTACAGGGGCAGTTCATCCCCCATTTTCTTTTTCAGATCTCTTCTGGTTTTTAGACTGATGCTAACCTTTTGGTGTTTTTTGGTTTTGTATGATTTTTTTTTTTAAAAAAGGTTTTATCATTCAAAAGTTTTAAGGATACTCACAAAGAAGTAAGTCTCTTCCCAGCTTTAGGACTTTCTTGGGCAGTTGGTAGAGGCAGCACCCTGCACTTGAATTGATACCGGTCTGGAGATTACGTCTATTCCACTCTCATGTTAAGGGCATTACTGATTATTGCTGAAAGGAGACACCTTCCAACTCTAAAATGTGCTGCATTTGGCCCTTGCTTTTCAGTTTTTGAAATGGAAATTGTTATTTGTTGGACCATATGCGTTCCCCCCAGCACTGTGTAGTTACACAGGATTTCATCATTGGTTCAGATGCCTCTTTCCAACTCAGTCCCATCCAACAAGTTAAAGAAAATGGTTTTGCAAGTACCAAGTGAGAAGAATCTTTCACTTTAGCCTAGTTGTACTAAAGCCTTAACTTTTCACGAGCCTTTGAGCTGTATCATTAAGTTCATCTTGATCATTTATCAGCTTCTGAAATGGCGCTTTATTGCTCTTAATTTATTGTACAAGGACATATTTACCCCTCATCTTCAGATGTTTGGAAAGAATATCTTTAAAGTAAGATAAATAAATAAAGCACTAATTCATTGAATATGTCACTTTGGTTTTTATTGTACAAAAACCATGATCTTTTTTTTTTCATTTGCTGAATCACCTCATGTTCCTTTTTAGTGACTTATCTGAACAGAGCTGAATCTCATGATCCTAGCTATTAAAACACTATTTAATGTAAAATATTTTGCTTGTCATTCAGATATGTAAATCTTCTATGTCCTTTCCTCTGTTCTGTACATTTAATGTACATATTTCTGTCTTACGTGATTTGTATATTTCACTGGTTTAAAAGAAAAGAAAGGATTATGCCATAATGGAAGATAGACTATAAAATAAAACTTTGGTTGTATATTGGGAAGTGGTTTTAATTATCTTTCAGAGGAGGGTTTGTTAAAACAATGAGCAGAGTTGATTTTTAAATTTACTACGTGGTAAAACAGGAAGTGATTGTTCGCCAAACATGCAAAGTACATCTTGAAGTTTTATTTCTAAATTAAGAAGGCATACAAACGTAACTACTACTTAAATAGAAGAAAAAAAAAAAAACCAACAGAAAACCCAATCCCAAATCCCTATGACTGAATTAGAAAGCAGTTTAGAGATGGATAAATACTGATTTGGCAATGGGTAGAGACCTGGGTTAATGTTATTTGTGCGCGTATGGCTTCCAGGGCTGCCTGTAGTGATTCTGGGGCAGCGGGGCCTGATCCTGTGAACAGCTTCCTCCAGTAATCCCAGTGATGGCAGCAGGATCCTCACTTGAGCAAAGGTTTCCAACCCAAAAGGTTTTCAGGACGGGGTTTTGTGCGGTTTGGGTTGCGCTTGCGGTCACTGGGGTGTGGTTCCCCACCCATCAGCCTGCCTGTGCCTCAGCTGCAAGGTGAAAGCTGACCGGTTTTTCCCTAAACTCCTTGCCCAGAAATCGAGTGTCTGTGGAGGGAAGAATCCTTTAAAAAACCAAAAGGCAAGGCACAATGAAGTATTAGTAGTAACGAAGTAAAGCAGAAAATGAAAATTAATGTAAAAACCAAGCTGCCTGTTTTGAGACTGGTTTTTCTTTGATTTCCTGAGTAAGTCATAATTTTTTTCTGCTATAGGGAGCTTGATGAATTGGTGGCCTTTCTCCACCTTTCTTCTGCTCCTTTTCTTCCTTTTTTTTTTTCCTCAAGGATAACCTTCTAACATATCGAAACTCCTTCTCTCTGCCAAGAATGTATTATCCCACAAACCAGTAGACCAACATCGTGTGTTTAAAATAGCGATTCTGGGCAAATGCAACGTTCTGTGGTCCTATTACTGACATCTGGTTCAGTTTTCCTTCACTTGTATATTGACCAGTATTCTTTATTGCAAAAACACAGCCCCTATTTAGGAAAGTCAGCATTTTTTTGGACTGGATTGTATTCAAGCTCTTCCCAATAACAGAAAAGTTACCAAAAATTTTCTTTATTGGCAGCAGTAAATATCTGTATTCAAAATAGTCATTATGGGCTCAGAGACAAGAGAATTGTTTTTAATTTGCAGCAAAGTTTATCTGTTAAATTTTATTAAGAATGCTGTTATCCCCTGGTTCAGAATCTTGTATTTTTAGTAATAGCTTAAAATCTTTGTGTTCAGTTATGGCTTTGCCAGTACTGATTTTCACCCTGTTTTTTGCAAAATACTGAAACCCCAGGTGTTAGCAGAAAGTGTACCAGGAACAGGGAAGAGGCTTGAAGAAGTGACTGGCAGCTTCGAGTCAGGCACCGCATGCAGAAAGCAAGCTGAAGTCCTTCCTTTCTGAAGGATGTGTTTGATAGAATGACCTTACAAAGATAATACAAAACTTGTAGAAATTGGTTCTGAAGCTGACAGAAAAGCTGCTTTCCTTTGGGTAAGATTTCTTGAGAACTGTTAGGATACTCATTGTAAAATGGTGGTTTTGCTGAATCAGGAAAGACATCCAATTTTTTTTCTTCTGAACTATTTGCTAGAGGAAAGTATGAAAACAAAGGAGAAAAATAAAGCTCTCTTAAAAAATATAGATAAATCTATTAATGTATAGCTTATGTATGTTCTTGCTGACTGTGTTAGTCTTAAAGTTGCTTATCTATTATTGAAGTCAGTTTGGAAAGCAGGCCAGATCTGTTCTTTCACTCTTCGAATTGTATTTAAAATCCTCAAAGGGGGGGAGGGGGAAGGAAAAAAAAAGAGCTTTCTCTCCTACTAGAGGCCCTGGTATGTCTGTTTATTTTGCAGTGGGATAAATGAACCAAATTAAATTTTGTTTTTTTAAAAGGTGTGATTAAAAAAAATCAAATCTGTCTCATGCGCTGCTCTTATATGAGGTTGCATATGTGCATTTGTATATATTCTGCTGGTATTTTCCAATTGTGTTGGCCAAATTCTGCTTTTAGTTATGGTTAGGCATCTCTCCTGACTTTGGTGGTGTCATATGAGCCTGACATTTTTCGACCAGACGTGAAGGCCCCCCTGCTCAAAGAGAATGCATATGAAATATATCAGCTTTTCTTCTGCTGGCTGGTTATTTAAACATGGGTAACTGAATTATTGTGAAACAAATTCTGGGACTGCAGCTGCAAAAGCAGTAATACAGTATATTCATAGTGATGTTTCTACGCCATACCTCCTAATTTCCCAGTTGATTTCCAGTGCAGACAGAAAGTCTAGAATGCATGTGGTATGCTCCTCATCATATATTTTATAAATGTAAAATAATGATTTGTCAATTACTGTTTCTATTATAGAGATAAAATGAGATATTTTGGGCTCTCCTGATTTCTTGAAGACCTCTTACCTTTGGCTGTGTTGAATATTGCTGGCTAGGAGTGTCACTGAGTGGTGTGTGATGTGAAGTTGCTTTTGGTAATGTCTCTGAAACCAGGCTGTGCCGTGTGAATATTGGTACACTGTATGCTTTTATAGCCAATGTTGGTTTACGTTGTGTTGTCTTTCCCAGCAGTTCTGCTTTCTCAAATGGTAATTGAACAGCAGCAGTCAAAATACTCAGCTGAGGGAGAACCCCTGGACACTCCATGGGCAGTTATTCAAACACTTTCTGAACCAGTTTGACCCATTGCTGATGTATTCCAGATCCATTGCGAGGAATTTAAAAAATGCAAACTGTAGTGTAGAGTTCATGGCATGGTTCACAGTTCTTTTTGGATTTGGTTTGGGTTTTGGTTTTTTTTTTTGTAAAGCAGCCCATTCCAAAATTACTTTTTTTTTTTTTAAAGAATTTTTTTTTTGGAAAGTCCTTTTCTGGGAGGCACACCCTGAGCAAAGGAAACGGTCCCTGCAGTACAAGATGGTAACCTCTGTGCAGTGACTCCCATGTTCTCAGTGACAGGTTGCCTTGAGGATGACTTTCAGAAACCAGGTGTCGTCCTGCTTCTCCCCTGGCAGTTAATCAGCAGAATGCAGCAGCTGCATCTTCTCAGTCATCACAGCATCATCTGCTGCATCTTCTTCCTACCAGGGAAGCAAGCCTATCTCCTGGTAGTTTTTCCTGTTGTTTTTCATAAAGAGAAACACCTTTACACAGCTTTTCTCAAGTATGGACTGGGATTCACTCTCTATGACTATTGATTTCAGAAGAGCTAATGCTTGGTACGCAAACAGTTTTAGGACTTCTCAGATATCTCTTTGCTTTGTAAATCGGCAGCCTTCAAGGAGTAGAAGGTAAGCCTGAGCAAACTTGAACTGGCCATTACTTGCGGCAGGGAGATTTAGGTCATTAATGCTGTAAAATACTGGTCAGCTGTATTTTTGTGCTTTCCTTTGAGTGAGGATTCAAGCATGAAAAAGAAAGTTGTTACTGAGCAAGACATGAACTAGTAAATATCTGAAGAAAATGGGGAAAAGACCAAGTTGTGGTGGGTAAATACTTTGGCTTTGTTAGCAGTCGTCTTTGGTGATGATTGACATTCGTATAAGATGGAAGGTCTGTGTGTTTCTGCATTTATGCTTTCTGGATGAAAGTATTCCCTTGATGATACTTTCATCTTACATAGTACATTTGTGAGTAAAGAGCCTGTAAGTAAATCAAGTTTGAGGACTTAATGAACTGGAAGTAAAACCATAACCAAGGAAACAGCTCCAAAAAACCACTATAAAGAGAATGAATGGTGCAAGATGTGTCAAACATACTTTTTTAAGAGCTGGTGTTGCTGTAGTGCTCAAGCAGGGAAATGGTTACTTCTGTCAAAGGCAGTATGTCCATTTTAAGCCACAGTGCCATTTGATTTATATACGTACAACTAGGCAATGCCAATGATAGTAGTCTGGGAGCAATTCCTTGGTAGTTATATACATTATATAGAATGCTTGTAAGTTATGAGGTCTGGCAATCCTCAGTATGCATGATGACATGCTTGTACCGGAATGTAGGTGGTAAGATTTCTTTTTAAATTTGTAAAAGTATTATGATTTGCATTGCATTATATATAAGAATTTATTTTTTTGCTGCAGCCTTCTAGTATATATGGGAATCTGAAGAACTGATAAAAATTAGGGGAGAGGGTGCAGTGCCTTGGCATAAGCAGCAGCTGTACACAGCCTATGGAATGTGAGGTGGAAGTTTCTTCATCCTGATGTTGTCTCCTGTAACAAGGCAGTATGTACAGATCCTGTGTAACAGATGCATTGGAAAAGAATGACAGAAGGACTTCGTGAACGAAGGACATAATTCATTCATAGTAAGTACAAGGTCTGATGTAAGTGATGCCTTTGCCATGTCATTTGCATGCAATATATATTTCTATATGAACATGTCAAATGCTAAGATCTTTATTCAAACGTAAGGTCTTTATTATAGCAGATTGAAAGCAGAATAAACTCTAACGAAGCCAGATGTAATAGGAACTGAATATGTCCCTTGTTCTTACATTCTAGTGGATTTTGTTGTTACCTTGTTAAGATTCAAACCGTGTCTTCGGGATTTGGCTGATTGGAATGATAGATTAGTCATTGTGGAGGATTTTATGGATAATACATCACAACATTCTTTTTTTTTTCTTTTTTTTTTTTTTTTAAGGGATGATATATGCCTTTTCTGGAGGGCATTTATATCATAGAATCTGCTTTAATTTGTAATGTAGTTTCTGATCCTCTCTGTGGTTAGAGGATATGTGGAAACATCTATGCCTTGTGTAGACTCTGTCATCTCTCATGTCTTACTGTCCTCCTCTGTGGTGTATATTTTGAATACTTTTAAGTTACTATGGCTTTACTATTTATAAAGCACAGATCTTGTAAGACCCCTGGCCTGTGGACCTTACCGTAAGAGATCTATCACCAAGTTTAGTGGAACTACTTAGCGTAAATAAGTGTGGCAAAATTTAAACATTTATGT